AACAGTACTAAGTTAGTAACAACAAAGTACTTACTACACTATATAAACTATAGATATAAGCTAACTGCTTACAAGGATCTAAAAGATATTAAGAGTATCGCAGTAGGCGCAGACAATAAAGCCTGCTTAATGCGAGAGCTATACGAAGAATTAAGCAAGAATATAGCTTATAGGAACCTTATATTAGCTAGAGCTGCGAATAAGCAAAGGATTAAGGAACTAACCTTTAAGAAGGGGGACAAAGTTTTCCTATTACAACAGAACTTAAAAACTAAACAACTAAGCAAGAAACTAGATAACCTCTAAGTAGGACCTTTTAAGATTCTAGAGGAAATAGGTATAGTAAACTACAAACTCTAACTGCTACTAGGTATGCGCGTCTACCCTATCTTTTACAAAAAACTCCTAGAAAGAGTACCTCTAGATGCTAAGCTAGCAACAGACATAGAGCTTAAAGACAACAAGTACGAGGTTAAAGAAATTAGGGACCTGCGGAAAGTTAGTTGTTAGTAGAAATACTTAGTTAAGTAGCAAGGATAGCTTAAAAGCTAGAACACTTAGGAACTAAAAGAAAATCTAACAAACTGTAAGTTACAGGTACTTAAGTACTACTAGAAACACCTAAGGAAGCGAGGACTAGGTTCTTAAGGGAAAGAAAGTAATTAAAAGAAAGGTTAAAAGAAGCGTTAGCCTGTAACTAGCCTAAGTTAGTTAATAATCCGGGTAGCGATAGTTTAGTTGCTAGGAAGTCTGTACCTAAGGCAGAGTTCCCCTTAGCTTGCTCTTTCGCACGATCCTAAAGATTTAAAATAGCGAGGTTTTAATTAGTAAATAACTGCTCTTGCGCCTTAGCCTCTAGGAGTTTAAGTTTGCTCTAAGCTAGCTAAGCTTTTAAACGCGCAACTTTAAGACGCTTCTTCTATTTCTCCTGCTAAACCTTCTCCTACTCTTCTTTAGAAATAAACAGGCTACACTTAGCCTTTACTAAAATATAACTAGCATAGCAACTTGTTGCGGTATCTATAAAACAGCAAAGGTTCTTCTCTTTGCAGCGCTTATAACAGAAAGCTATCTCTAGACCCTGCTCTTTTATATAGTTAGCACAGGCGCGACACTTAAGAGTTAAACTCTAGAGGCGAGAACAGCAGGAAGACAGAACCTTAGGCATAGTTAGGAGAAGTAAGGAAAGAAAAGAAGAGAGGTTATAATACTACAGGAACACCTAAACCTCTACCGCCGCCGCTAGACTAGGCGTAAGAAAATAATAATCTAGGGTATTAGGACAATACGCCTAAGAGGAGGGGTAATGTTACAAGGTAATAAAGAATTGCTTCTTTATGCGGGTCGCATAAAAGAAGACTATTAGGAAGCTACAATAAAGGCTTAATAATTAAAGGCGGGGCCTAGATTATGTAACCGACATCCTGCTAAGGCTAACTATCTAGAATAGCAGAACTACTTAGGATAGCGGAGCTATCACAAACATCCTATGCACTTAGGATAGACAGGATAGCAGGAATAGATTGCAATAGGTATAAAGGATA